AAAATAACTAACACACAGTTGCTTCCTTAAGGAGCATCAATTTAGTGAACTATATATTGTAATGATACAACGTGATAAGTGAACGTATAATGATACAATGTGGTAAGTGCTATGACAGCAAGGAACTCATGGAATAGGAGGGACACCTAACCCAGTTTTGAAGGGTGGAGCCTAGGTTAGGAAATGGTGGCAGTCATCGAACAGCAATCCTGAGAACTTTATCTGGCCATGGGGAATTTGTGTTGGGGTGGGGGTAGGAGGATGAAGGGAGATAGGCAGACAAGATACAAGCAAATTGACAAGAGTTGCTTAAAGGTGGGAATGAGAGAGGAGGATGAACCAAAGATAGCTCCTGTAATCCTGGCCTGAGTTACTGAAGAGGTGGTAATTCTATGAGTTGAATGGATAACTCAGTGTTAAACACATTGGCTTTGAAAGGCTTTTGATACAACCATACATAAATGTTCAAAAGGCAGCTGGATTTACTGGTTCAGAGATCAGGAGATGTCCAAGGTGGAGATATCTGAGTCATCATGGATTTCTAGTTAAAGCAATGGGTGAGATCATCAGGTAGAATGCTACGAGTGAGAAGGCCACCCACAGAAACTTAGGGAATACTAACATTTAAGGCATAGGCCAGAGAAAAGATGCTTTAGAAGGTAATTGAGAAGGAGCTGCTATAAAGGAAGAAGCCAGAGAGGGAAGCACTGTGGAAGCTACAGAGAATTCCAAAGGGCAGGAAGTAGTCAAATGCTAGGTCCTTAAAAGGACACACAAGACAGTTTAAAAGTATCCTCTGATTTAGCAATAAGGAGATACTGACAATAATTTCAGTGGACTAATTGGGAAATGAAGAATTAGAAATGGAAAATATCACATTTCAAGAATGGGATTGGAAAGGGGTATAGAGAGGTAGATAAAAGCTATCAATAAGGAAGTAGAGAATTCAAAAAAAGAGAGGAGCTACTTTTTGAAGCCACGTCCCCAGAGAAGCAGGATGGAAGCAGACAGATACCTCCTGCAGAAGGAAAAAAGAAAGGATGGGAGCAGATGCAGATAAAAATTGGAGTAAAGGAGTGGTAGGGAGTTGATGGTGTATATAATGGTTGCCTAATGTTTAACCAAGAAATTTTGCTCAGAGTAGAGGGAAATGATGAGCAAACTGCAGAGATGAGAGGGGGTTAGAGAGGGGTAGGAAAACACATGGTCCTCTACACATTATTCCCTGAGGGCATCTCTGCATTAAGGCACAGAGCAATTATAACACACAAAAGAACAATTCTGAGACACCTAGAAAACACAAAAGTTAAAAAATTTTTAGGTTAGGGCCGGCCTGGTGGCGCACTGGATAAGTGCGCTGCTTGGGAAGCGCGGCGGCGCTCCCGCCCGAGGGTTCGGATCCCACATGCAGACCGGTTCCCGCTCACTGGCTGAGCGAGGCGCGGGAGCAACGCCGAGGGTTGCAATCCCGTTGCCGGTCCCCGGTCCGGTACGGG